CTTTGGCCACAGTTACTGCGCTCCTGGGGTGATACTGAGGCTGTGGGACTGACACCGTAGACTTAGCCCAGCCCCAACTCCAGGATGCAAGCTCGTGCCACTGAGACCTACTGAAGCAATCAGAAGACAGGTCTTGTGACAGGTCTTGCGCTTGCGGCTATTGCGGTCAGGCAACAGCTCGCCAAGCAAGCCCTCTTCATCCGGGACGTGAACCGTCCACCTCGGCGACGAATCCATGGAACACGAGGACGCGCACGCGCGCCAGAACATAGGCGAGCGAGGGTCCCGAGTATCCCCTGAATTGCACCAACCTAACGGGTCCCGAAGCTAGCTTGATACCTGTTTTCTCTACGAACTGGCTGTCGAAGACTACAGCAGAAACCGTGGCGCAAACAGAGGAAACCCGAAGAAGATCAGATTTGTTTTTACAATGGGCTGATGTGATGTGTGACTGGATGTGGGCTCTTCCGGCTTAAGTTCGGCATTGCGCTCGGACTTTCTGTGAACTAAACTGTGAGTCCCTGCTTCCGCGGTGGGGGGGGGGAACGATTGCATAACGGGCAGCGATGCCGTGGCAATGGAGTTCGTGCTTCGGCAGGCTTGAAACAGATTTCGCTCTTTCCCGGATACCATGGGCATTGACATGAACCCGGGAAAATAGATGGTAGTCACTTGCACTGATGCCAGAAATCACTCACCCAGAACTTGGCTTCTAAGGGTTCCTTGCTCGCATTGATACTAGTACCTTATCAACGCGATGACGGGTGGAACGAGAAGAGAGCTGGACTCGATCTCATTCGTGTTGAATGCATCTCTTGATGGATGCACGGGTACCCGAGCTTCGATTCCGTCCCCGAAGTAAAGCCCATGATCTCTGAGTGTTCGAAAACTCGTCATTGCGAAGCCTGTTCGAGAGGTGTTCCGGCCCAGTTTCAGTTTTGACCCTTCGTCACAGCTGTTATGCTTCTAACTTCTGCTCGTGTATTGCGGAAGTGGTTCTGGTGAGAGCAGGAATGTTTCGGGCATTTTCGGGCAACCTCCAAGCCAATAAAACACGTCGAAATCAGAAGCAAGTCGTTGTAAGCAGGACCGGAGCGATTCCCGACAACGGAGCCACGGAGAGGGCGAGAGCGAGAGAGCGAGCGCGTTGTGATGGCACGAACTGAGGCAGAAAGAGAAGCAAGAATGACAGAACGACTCTTCGCAAACCGACCCAGCGCAGCACCTGCTTTCCATCTGGTTTAATCGTACTAGAACATTCCTTGCAGGCGAGCCCACGGTTCGTCTGCTGGCGACTCCTGCAGAATGCCACGCTCCTGGCGGCCGACAAGGCTGTGTTCGGCAGCATCTCGTGAAGTACACTGCATGCCACACGCCACCCGCTGTCTGCTGCCAGGTGTCTTCAAGGTCTGCCCGGCTCGGGTGCGGGAGGCCTATTCAAGGTGCAATGTCCGAAACAACGTCGTTCCGGGAACAGTACTGTAATTTGGTGTTCAGAGCGTGTGGTTATGGCCAGGGCAATGCAAGAGGTCCAGACAAAGGAAGATTCAATACTCAGCCGACTAGGTAGAGCCCGAAGCTTGGCTTTCTCTGGCGCACGATGCTTGCAGTCCAAGGCACACCGCAAGCCCACAAAGCATCCTTGGAATAGGACGAGTCTCTTGGACAATCTGGAGAGATCTGTCTACCGGCATGTCGGCAGACATTGCGAGACTGCGACTATCTACTCCCTGTAATTTGGCTGAGAACTACGTATTTCAGACACTTCTGAAGACAACTCAGACCCAGCAGCATGCTCCTCAACATTCTGAACGCCAAGACCCGTTCGGTTCTACCATCTCGGCAAAGCGTCTTGTTGGCACGTGCGTCGACAGAGGCAGCTTCGAGACTGCTGGCCCATGGCCTATGCAGCGATTTACCAGTCCAGCCTACCAAATTCATACCCCGGCAACCCCTATGGCTCCTCAACGGCAACATTATCAAGTCAATTTACCGCTACTTGCGAGAGCTTGCACTGGTATTAACATGCATCGGCAGTACGTGAGAGGACAACGAAGCACTTTTATGGATGCTGGAAAGCAGCCTGACATGACAGCAACTCTGTTGAAGATACCGTGATCTGGTGTTCAATTGCAGCCTCTAGACTGTTACGGGGGTTGCCCGGACTTGTAACGATCCATTTTTGGATCAAGGGCATCCGAGGCTATGCGCGTTCTGCGTGTCCCTTCCACAGCGGTTCTGCACAAGAACAAAGGCCCCGGGACCATCCGTTGAGGTGCTAACAGACTGTTCCTCCCTAACCCCAAGGGCAAAGCATGGGGTCCGGGGTTCAGGAGTCAGAAGAATCCCGCTGCAGACCTTTATGCTGCATTACTAGAGCCCCTGGATTCACCATGGACCATAGACCTCTGTCTGCGAAAGGAATTATGGAAAGACTCGCAAGGGACAACAAGACCGGAAAATTACACATCTTCTGACCAGCCGATGCCAAATTGCGCAATGCTTTGGCCTTTGGGACTTGCAGCTGTGCGATACGAAAACACTCCCTGGCCGTTTCGCACCCAAGACACGAGAGAGACACCACAGGGCTGCAGGTGCCAGCAGCTTGCCCCACGATGCACGGAGCGCCATGGCCAAGCACACTAGTTTGGGCGCCAGCTTACACTTCACCTGTACTCTGGACGTGCCGCCCTGTACATGCCCATCTATATACGATTTTACGTGCGTCCAGGTTACATCAGCAACCGCATGGGTCCCGCTTGTTGCTCATGTTGCTCAGACCTCCAGCTGCGACCTGTAAGCCAAGCCTTGCTTCCGTCGACCACGCATCGGCACAAAGTGCAAGCACTGTTCCGCGTCAGTACGACACGAAGCGCCAAGGCAAAGCTGATGAATAGCGGTTTCGACATGCTGTACAGAACCGTTGTTGGAAATGGTTGCTTCGGCCTCCGGTGCATCCTCGACACCAGCAGGCACCCGCAACCGCAGCCTCAATTTACAGCTTGAACTAGCACCAGCCGCATCAAACGCACCCGAGACATGCGGACACTATGCGATGCGATGGTCTTCTCACAGGCTCGAAAACACAAGACGGCAGACCAGCTGCTGATTATGGCTCTATAAGAGCTGATAAGCGTCCACTGTCCGGCCGAGTCGTTTTGAGACTGTCACGGACTCGGCTGGGCTGCAGGCTTGACGCGTTGAGGCTGGCTTGCACCATAGCCGCCACCTGGAGCTCGTGTGCACATGATCCTTCTGCCCCACACGACAAAAGGATCTCCGACTCCACCACCCGATCTAGGAAGGGTCAGAAACTCCGTAGACGAAGGATCAAACATTGTTGAAACGGGTAGCTGGTTTGTCCGCCGTAGCTGCACGAGAATTGAAAGTCGCCGGGGGGAAGCTCCACAATCTCTCTTCTCACTCCGCGATCTTTGCTTTGGCAGATTGACAACGTCCGGAGACACTGGATGCTCGTCAGAGTCTGCATCCATCACATCGCACCTACCTGCCCTATGATATGCCATATCGGAAGCCCCCTCTGCCATATTGCGGAACTCTCCGTCATGCCAAAACCCTCTGCTATGTAGGAGCCATGCAACATGCTTTTGACCCTGTGCCATGCAAAGACCTGCTGCGATATCGAATGGCAACTGCAGCTTTGCCATCTAATAACTTTCCCCAAGCATCCATGATAGCCTAAGAAGATCTATGGCGCGGTCTATTCTGGAGCATCCAAACCCTCCCGTGGAAAGTCACGCCTTCCGCGTCGAGATCGCGGGGTGAAGGCCGTGGTGAGGTGGTGGATGCCATTGCACCGGCCACCGGTATCTACCAAACGACAGCAGCTACAGCTAGGGGTGCAAGAGCTTACCTTCGAGTGTAGAAAATGCGTGGTTGCTGCTTGCTTGCATTTATAGTATACATCAGGCCTAAACTTGAGATGCTGTCTCCAGCGTGGGCAAGTCAAAGCTCCAAGCTTCTCGCATGATCTGACCTTTCATGAAGAATCCCGAAGCCTCATATGCCGACTGTGAGGTACGCAGACTGCCTGCCGCACAAAAACGTTGCAGACGGCAACAGCCAACAGCGTGAGCCACTGCACGAAAAGACATGACAGAAGAAGTCTTCGACTTTGGGTTGCTCGGCGTGCGACATGCGTCTTAGGGGACGATCTACCTAAGTGAAACTTCGATGTTTCAAATTAGAGCGATCCGCCAGCATGGGCATGGAGATCAGGAATGAACAGCTGAGCTGAGGCTAGCAAGATGCTGCAAACTGAAGCTCGAGACAGAGTCCATGCCAGTAATTGGCCAACAGGCTCGAGGCAACTTCATCTGCCCGAGCCGTGCGACCACATGCAAATCCACATCCACCTTCAAACGTCTTAGATGTTCCAGTGAGATCTGGAAACGTGAAACATGCTACATTAACGGCAAGGGGGGATCCCCGTTTCGGAGGATTATCAGCCTTCGTCAGCCGAACCCTTGCGGCCATGGCTATGGCCTGTGCAACTGTGCGCACATGCGCCTGCCGGCTGGCGGCACGGAATAAATCAGCCGCTTAAGTTTCCAATAGTTCCGGAAGCTTCTGCCATACGGCAAGAGCCGCCCTTCCGACACGCCTGCTGTGTACATATGGCTTCAAGGGACAGGTCAGACCGACAACCACTTCATGGAGCGAGATTGCTGTCTGCATTTGAAGTTTCATGTCCGTGCTTCTGCAATCCAGTCTCGCTTCATGAGACGAAGCATGCGCGGGCCTCCTTCTCTGCTTCGTTACTCACTAGCATCAGGCCGGCATATGCTTTGCACCGAGAAGAGCGAACCTTTCAGCCTTGCGAGTTCAGGGTTCAGGCCCATCCTGCTGTTCTCGGAATGGCCGGTGGGGTATCGGCGGCTGAAGTCACGAAAGGTGCTCTCAAGGCATTAAATTTGGCGAAACCTCAGGCTTCCCGCACATGATGTCTCCAGGCGACAGCTGCAAGTAGTGCAAGCACCTCAGGTGTTGCAATCCACGACACATGATATGGCCGCGTTGTGAAGATCACAGCAGTCATGCACATTATGGCGTATGGATCCTAAGCTCACCGCCGACCAGTTGGCCCGCACCGGTGATGCATCACCAGTTTGAGTAAAGGCGATCGACGACGGGTGAGACTGCAAGGGGTTCTGTGCTTGCAACATGAGGTATGAACCTATTGTGGCACTGGCTTGTCACGAATACGAACACCAGTTGAAACATGTGGATGCAAGTGACTGCTCGGGCCTCACCCATTCCAAAGCCTGCCAATGGGAAGCTGACCAAGGCCTCAAGATGGCATGTCCCCGTATGCATTTGCATCTTGCAGCATTCTTCCCAAGCACAATTCACCCAGCTGCACTGGGCTGAGGCGGCAACACGCGGATCATCGGAACCCGTGCAGGACTCATTCCGAATGGCTGGACTGCAAACGGTCAGCTCCCAGATCTCAGCGTGCAGAATATTCTAGCCAAAGACCCACCGGCTGAACGCAAAGGAAATACCGGCTTAGGTCGGGACATTATACTTCGGCATCACGGCGGGCACCATGATGGGCCACTGGAACCTGCGAGCTGGCAGATGCTCACGTATGGCGTTTGTCTGGCAAGCTATTTGGTCACAGCAGCAGTAGCAGAAACAGCCAACTTGGCAATCAACAGACAAGTTCTCTGCTTAGTGTGTGAGCGAACAGGAACGCGATTGTTTTCCAGTACCCGCGGACTCAAGCATCTAAGAAGGCGAACAGGTCGGTCTGCAGAGCTGCCACTCTTGCGCGGAACGACCACGCACTCACGCGACTCACCGGGCGTCCGGGTGCAACGCTAACAGGTCAACCAGCTTTTCAAAGAGGAGTGATTTCGGTCCACCGGCTTCGTAATCAGCTCGGACAGGGCTCCCACACTGCGGCAAAGTCTGGTTCCTTCCTTTGATAGCCTGACTGGTCGCTGGGCTCCCAATCTCCTCTACAGCTGCTCTAGAGATTGCGTCTGACAGATTTGCCTTGCTTGCCACTCTAACACAGAAAACGGTCAAGGATTTGGACGCGACCCAGCTCCGGAACCAACCTAACAAGTTGGTCAAGGCGGGGCCTTTGAGTAGCCCTTCCTGGGCGCATCCTTGCGTGCAGAGTTGTCAACGAACACACACTACATCTCCTGACGGGGCGTCAGATGTCACGGCCGAGCACAGGATCTGTGCGATTGCTTCCAGCCAGAACATGAACGCCTTGGTTGTCGCAGCTCCAGCCAGGAGTTTGCGTGGGACTGCTGACTCGGAGGCTCAGCGACATCTTTGGTTTCCAAAGAAGACCGCTCCCAAACCGCTGGTAGATCCTTGGAGTGCTCCCAGTGGTGTGGCCTGTTGTAGCCACCTTCAAGCTGCTTGACGGGTACCTGTAGGGTGACGAACGCGTCTGCGTGCAGCAGGTGTGCTCTGTTTGGCTGTAGGCACCGTCTCAACGGGAAGGCAGCAAAGGCAAAGTGCTAACAGGTTTGTCAGAGCAGACTGCCAGGCAAGCTTCGTCTGTGGAAACGGGGAGTGCTGTCGTGAGTACACCGACGTGAGAAGAGCCTTGCCGACTCCCCCGAAAGAACAAAGCAGACGAAGTTCAGTTTGCCCACGAGCGGGCGGAGTTAAGTGACCAAGCTAACAACGCCTTGCGGATCATCTCAGAAAGCGGCTGGATCTGCTTTCACTCGGACCAGCTGTGATACTGTTCCGGAAGATGGTCCAGACCACTCCTAACAAAGCCTGCACCTGACTGGGCTTCTGTGCTTTGCTCTCCTTCATAGTAAAGCCCAGCTGCGACTGAAGGAAGCAAAAGCTGTTGAAACCTGACAGGGCCGTCCTCGAAGGTTCGCTGTAGTAAAAGTCGTGCAGCAGGCAGAAAAACCGAGAAGTAACGTGAGAAAGCATATTATATCTGCTATTCGAAGGTATGCCCCGACGCTGCCTGTACCTCCGAACGGGAGGACTGTGTGTTGAACATGTTGGGGTCCTTGTTCTGCGGTGATGAACACGAATCACTTCCACACGAAGCACTTCCAGGGTCTCTGACTGGAAGGGCAAACTCTGATGACTGAACCGAGCTCAGCACCGTCTGCGCGCTGGTGCAGGCGGAGGGTCGGTCACGAAAATTGTGCTACCGTGTCCTAACCGCCTCCAGTCGTTGGCTCGGCGGACGTGGTCTTGCTGCAATACCGGGAAGGCTCTTGAAGCAAAAGCTTCGGGTTTCTCTGCTGTACTGCCGTGCTCGAACGGGCCTCGGAACCTGTCTACTCTTTCCCGACTTCTGGCAGCTGCATGCTCAGAGCCGCCGACTCGCGAGACAGCGTGAGTTTGTGCTCGTGGTTCCGAGCTGCGAACTGAACGTTGTTCAGGGGTCGGCCATATACTTTTCATCCCGACGGATGTCCCAGCACGCCCGGACGGGAGAGGGCCTCAAACTTAAACCTTACAGCCGATCTGCAAGCGCCTGTGTACCTGGGAACTCCAACAAGTTAAAAAGGTGCAGGACTAACGGCGGTTGCAACCCGTAGCTATCCCCTCCTTGGCGGTAGACAAGTCTGACGCGAGGAGGCGAACCCCGTAGCCACTGGCCTTGTTCGTCTTGGATTTCTTCGCGGAGCTTACTAACATCGGCCACCATCTCCCGTCTGAGACTTTGTCCAAATGGCAAGGCCCACTGTAGACGGGGCTTCTGGTACAGAGGCCTAGCCTGACTGGGTGGGGCGAAGGGGCGGGAAGGCCGGTAAGGCTGAGGGTGCCACTGACGGTGCTGAAAGGACTTGCCTTGCCAAAGTCAAAACAATTGCCCAACTCAAAACCTTTTCCTTTTAGAACCTTCGTCGTCGCCCTTGCGTCTTTGATCTCCTCTTTACCCTTTCGAGGCTCGGCCGGGTCGAATCGGGCCGGACGGTTGAGCTCGTCCTGCTTGGGTCAGCTCAGGCGATGCTTCTTTGGACGACTTGTTCGCGCGCATCTGAAGGGCGACACCCAAGAAGGCTTTGTCGAAAAAGGCACGCACGCAGGCGGGTATCGATTCGGATAGTCGCGGCAGAGGTTCTGCCAGGACTCTGCCCAAGCTGACGACGTCACGCTCGTCACACCACCGGGAAACATGAGAGCCCATTTGATGGAGGATTGCATCTAACAGGCTCACCAGTTTCTGCGGTTCTGGCACTGGCACGTGCCGCAAGGCCTTAGTGAAGGCACCTGACTCATCCAAGATGAGCTTGGACTTGTTGTCGTCCTTGGCAGCTTTGCTGGGCGTGAAGTGCCCACGGGGAGATTATTCCTCCCAGTCTGACCGGAGAGTACTGTTTCGAGGATTGGTCCTGCTGCACCATCCTCGCTAGGATCTCTCCTGCACCCAACAAGAGGTACTCCCTGTCACGGCCTAGCAAGACAACCGACTCCAACTCTCTGACGTAGTCGGAGCAATAGTTCTTGGCATCTGAGCTTGGAGCTGCTGCCGCCCTTCCTTGACGCAGCGGCCGGCGCAGGAGTTGCCACTGACATGAGTCAGTTCGTCCGGGGCCACGTGTGTGGCCGCCTCAAGCGTGAGGCGTTCATCCTCTGACCGGCGCACTGCGGTGCCAGGTCAGGCCCCGCTCTCAAGGGCTCTCGAAACGGCCTGAACTTCAGTAGCATATAAAAGGCAAGCCGGAGCGGGCGGCCACGTCAGTGAGATCTGGCAGAGCTGGCGGGCTTGTCGCATCGTTTCTCAGAGGAATCGGAACCTGCGCTGACCCTACTGACGGGTTGGGGCAGCAACATCTGACGGGAAGCACAGAGAGCACGTGGCGAGTTGCGTCGCATCGAACTAGTTTCGCGCCACCACTTATACCGCAAGCAGTAACCCAGGACTCGCTGGCTAGCTGTCTCTCGCTAGGGGAAGGGAGGTGGCACATCTTAGACCTCGGGCTGCGAACTAACGTTTGGTTCGCTTGGAAAGTGTAGACCACAGCCTTGCGAATCAGGTCTTGAATCTGGGCACTGCCGGGAGCTACCTGGGCTGAGGAGCTGGCATGGGTCTGTGGCAACACTGGGGCACCAACATGAAGACCCACCGCAGTGCTGCTTTTTCTGATAGCAACACAGCAGCCCCTTGGACATACTTCAGCATTGAGCTTCCGCTCTACGAGCTGTATGTGTGGGATAGCAGGAACCAGCCGGCAAGCGTCGAGCTGGATGTGGCCTGGGCATCGTTGACTGGAGCCGAAGGTCAAGCTTCGGCGTGGCCGGCTTCTTCCAGCTCCTCTGTTTCGCTACCGAGATGTACTGAGCAGAAGACCGTTAACCACCTGCCTTGAGCAAGGCCCCCAATGCGAACAGGGATTCACGGGTAACTGGCAAAGTGGGGAAACCTCGCTGCTCTGCGGCACCTGAGGGGGCCGGTTCTTGGGCTTTGCTGCAGGCGGGCACCTGTGCCTTCTCGTGAAGCGACGGAGATTGTAACGGGAGCACATCCCGCGAAAGCACCAGCCGTATGAAGACCCAATAGTCCGGTGGACTAACATGGAAAGGAATCGCATCCGGTGCAACAAAGGAGCACCACGTCGCAACTCTCGCTCCGCATCTCTGACTGGCACCGCGGATCTGCTGGGTCCGCTTCTGCATACCACCTGACAGGTCCGCAGAAGAAGGCGACGAGGCTTCTCTGACCCGCCAGGCACATCCAGCCAGCCGGGCGTCGAGTGTGCGGAGAGGTGGCGACAGAGGACTATGGCGTCCTGACAGTTGACCCGTCAGCGTGTGTTGCTGACACAGGCGGCCCGTTCGGTGGCATGCCAGTCACCCCTGCCAAGGATGCCATGTTCGGAGGCACCTCAGCATGCACCCTCGTCAGCTACGCCGACTACCCCGCCGAAGGTCACACCGAAGAAGACAGTGTGGCAGACGCCCCCGGGAGTTCCTCGAGCAGGCTCCTCCACTGCTGTCGTCGCACCACCGTCGCCATCATCGCTCAGGTCCAGGTCTTGTAACGCCCCAAAGATCGCTCCCACCAAAGTTTCTGTGTCGTACGTGGCCTGCTCATTGGTGGCCTGACGGAAGGCATCCAAGCCCTCAGCCACTGACTGGCCAAACACTGTTGTGCCACGCGGAACTCGGTTAACGCCCATCAGCTCATCCCCAGGAGCCTCGCTGGGCACAGGCAGTGCTATCATCACGACTGGACTCACGCGAGGAGGTCCTGACATGGCGTCGCAGAAGCTCTACCCCGAAAAGCTGAAAAACTCGAGGAGCAACGGCTTCAGCAGCTGCTTTTCTCTGCTTGCTCCTAACTGGAGCAAACCACAAAAGACTTTCACACGCCTAACTTGTGCCCGTGTGCACATGTGCACTACCCAACAACAAGACAATTGCAACTGCAAGAAGAAGTGTGACGTGATGACCTTGGTAGCACTAGAGACATCAATAGCGCCGGCGACACAAACAACGACGATAATAACGGTGATAACGGTCAATACCGGCTTCAGCTGCGGCGACGACGACCCCCCAGACGACCACCAAAACCACAACAAGCAAAGTACAATAACCACAACACCGACAATCACAACGCACAACATCTACAACAACCACAACATCTACAACAACCACAACAACCACAATCACAACAACCACTAATATCAAAACCTTAAAGGCACTAACAGCTGTGTATACTATTTGATATCAGTGGCAATAAATATGATTGATCATAGTGAGATGCTTTATCACACTGCCTGTACGAGCCAATGGCCAGCTTCTGGATGGCTTCCTCATCCATTAGCAGCCTGAGCCTGCCACGCTCTGGCCGAAACAACCCGGCTTCGACTGCATGAACTGCACTGGTGGCCTTCGTGGATCAGTGACGTCTAACCAGCCGCCTGCGCAGAAAGGATGTCTTCGAAGGCATCGCTGCATCGTTGCATGTCCCGGTGTCTACGAAGCCTTCTCTTCGTGGAAGTGGTTCTGTCAAGGTCTCCAGCTGCGCTGTCTTCTGGACCTCCAGCTCTTCGTTTTGGTGGATTCCTGAAGTGGCCTCCCTCTTACTCTTGTGCCTGGTGGGAGAAGTCCGGAGGCATCTCAATAATAATCTCGCTCATGATGGGTGGATCCTGCATCGGCGCCCGGTTAACCCCGGGGCACATCTCGAGATGGGAACCGGACCTGGCCTTCAAAGGCAGTTCTGCGAGCAGCTCAATGCCGGTGCTGACGAAGGTATTCCTCAGAGTCTGCAGGCCATAAGGCCATAGGGTCCTACTACAAGCCTTCTGCTCTTGGACCTCTTACAATAAGTAAAAATAGCACCAAACGGATGAGCGGCCTGTTCGGCTCGGCCATGCCCCAGATTAGAGGCATTGCTGAAATTGGCAGGCCGTGTTGGATCCGTAGGCCAGGAATGCTCATTGCTGCGTCTGACACCTTCCGGCTGGCTTTACAACTCAAGCCAGTCTCGAACATTGTCTTGCTCTCTCTGCCTGACCGGTCGGCGTCAGAATGATGATGTAGAATACGTTGTCATTCACAGCCGCTGGGCAGGTGCTAGTGACCTGGCTAAGCAGGGTCGTGGCAGCATCAGCAGCTTCATTTGTAAATTCACGCTGCGTTTGCAAGGCCCTTGCTGTAAAAGCTTGCTGGCCAGGGGGAAGCGGTCTGTCCAGCCGAAGCTCGAAGTAGCCCTGTTGGACCAGGAAAATTAAAGCGTCGATTGCGAAAAGCGGTAATTTCAGTGCCTCCTGGATGAAGTTCATGCAAGTCACCTCACCGGTAATCGCCACCTGCCCAAGCCAGGCTGTTCAGACTGCCAAGCACTTCTCGTTTCAAACGCAACCTGGCCTGGCTCAAGTACAGGCCATTGCACAGGACCTCGATGTCCCTGTCGTCCCACAGATTCAGGCCAGCTGAGGGCATCGTTGAAAGACATGCCAGAGCGACGTCGGATATCCTACACGGATGGCTCCACCTGATTCGATTTTTTCCTTGGCACTCCACAAGGCAAGTGCATCAGTTAAACAATCTTACACGAGCTTTGCCTTCTGAGGCCAGCAGCATTCGTGATAAAACTGAAAGCCATCTGGCCAGGAATTTGTGGAATGCCGGGATAGAGGACATGCGCACCTGAAGAAGCGCCAAGAGCAGAAAATCCGAGCACCCAGAGTCGTTCTGTCTGGCTGAGCTCCACACCCAACATCTGCCGAATCAGAACCCCGGAGGGATCCTTCAATTAAAACCGAAATCCTCACTTTTGATGGCAACACCTTGAGCATTGGGATGTCCTCCCCCCACGCGAGCTGCAGGTCGCTGGCCATGTCTCGCGCCTTTGTGAGCTGTCTGCAGACGCTACGGACTGACTCGATTTTAAAGAAAGGCAGCCGAAGTGCATTGATAAACCAGCTGGTGCTGGGGGGATTCTGCGCCGGTGTTGTCACCTTGATCACCTCAGCAGCATGGACAAAAGCACAACCGTGGACTTATCAGCTGCACTTTGCTGCCTTTGGTTCCACAAGGTATGGCGGTGCTTAGGATTCCACAACCTGCTCGAGCACGGATGTCAGACCTGAGTCTTCCAGCCAACACCCACTGCTCACAAAACTGCAAAGGGAGCATAGCGGCATAGCGAGAGTTACCGAGCCGCCCACGCGCAACAGTGAGCCGAGCGGAAGCTCGTCCAGCAACGTTGCCGTGCCTTGGTAGTGCACCCATTGTGGTTGCATAGGTGCACAGGCTACTGAAAAAGCCTGAGCCTCACACAACTGGCAGGAAGTGACGCGATTGAAGGAGCCTCGCTTTCGCAGAATGGAAGCGATGAAGCTTGGAACAAAAGCATTTTGGGTGTCGGACTCGTTACAAGGCAGTTCCTGACGAGTGAGCTGCAGTTCACAATGACGGGACATGACACGAATGAATTTGTTGCTTAGCCACGGCGTGAAGTTGAAGCCAAGAGGTGCGACCAGGATCAGCTCATCCGGCTGGGAAGACTTCGGGTCCACCACCAACTAGGCAGCGCATGGATGAGCGTACGTGCGATGTTGCGACGCACTGCTGAGGTGAGGACGTTAACATCAATCGCGGCCATTGGAGGTGAACGCGAAGCCTGCACCTCGCTCTCGTTGCAGCGCGCTTTGAAACTTTGACCGAAGCAAAAGAGACCCACGTCGGCCATAGTGAGAAACTGTGTCTCTAGTCAAGCGGCTGTCAGCTCTGCCCGCTCCACGAGACGGAAGCCCTGCCAACGTGCTCAGAAAGGAGGCGCTCGTGAGGTTTTCTTTGTGCAGCGTCGGAGCTGCCTCGGTGAGCCCGTCGTTGGTGTTCAAGGGCAGCTGGCTGCCATCCAGAATCTGCACGCAGACTGCAAGCGATCGCACAGGGCCACATCGCTGTCTCCGCATGCAGCTACAAAGGTGCCATGCAAAGCGATGCGAAGCATTTCCGCCGAAGGCACTGCTCACGCACAGAGTGCCTTGTCATAAGTCGCCAGACAATTTGGCATCTCAAGTCCCAAGTGGTCCTTCTCCTGGTTACCAGAAGGATGACGTGGAAAAACTGGGAACTGAAGAGCCGTTCCATGAAGCACCAGCTTGCTTTCAGCATGCGGTGGCACGGCAAGTAACAGATGAGCTGGATGTGAAATAATTTGAGATAATGACCAGCCATACATGTTGATTGCCTCGAATCATGACATGATCCAACACGACACTGCCATGCGTCTTCTGATCGTCCCCCAGCCCAGTTCAGGTTCCATGCTACAGGCATGGTATCTGCCTAACTAAGCGATCACACCAGACGCCAGAAGGTTGGAAGCTTCGTCCATCAGCTCAGCGCCCGCCGATGCAGAAGCCTGGTAGAACTGACTTGTCTTGCCAGTTTTGCTACATCTCTGAAACTCAACAGAACAGGATATTGTGGCAGAACAAAGCCAAACAGAATGCGTGGCTCTTACAGTGGCCTCTGGGCCCTGACCCAGCCGAGGCTCTGCAGGACGTCGCTGACGGAAAAATGCGAAAAGCGTCAATGAGATGATCAGCGCTGCTGACAGCAAGACCAGAATCAGGCTAAGGCTTGACGCTGGCGGCTCCGCCGTACTTTGCAAGCCGTCCGCCGCGAAGAGGCGCTGCACAGCACCGCAGAGCTGGTCAATCTCTGCTTGGCCGGTGGTTTGCATCACTGGTACGATGCCTTCAAACTCGCCTGTGACCGGGGTCAGGCCGCTCATGTCACTGAAGGTCAATGCGAAAGTAGCCTTTGCAGACAGGAAGACATCCTGCTTCTGCGGTGATGGGGTTGTGGCATCTATGCTTGCACACAGCTTGGATGCCTTCCACTCTACGACCTTGCTGCGCACGAACTCACTCAAGCGGTTCCACTGGGCTGGGTTCTTTACTCCTGAGAAGATTAGCTTGGTGGGCGGTGTTGTCGGCTTCGGTGTGGTTGTGACCACCAGTGGCTGCTCGTTCGCCTTGCAAGTGGGCTTTTGCCAACCCCATGGAAACTTGTCATCAGTTTGCTTGGGGTGACACGAGCACTTGTCAATGGGCTGGCTATCCATGCACGGAGGCTGGCAAAAGGCGATCGGGGTCAGACACTTCTGCCCACCATCCTTAACACACTTTTTCATGAAGGGGCAACAGTAGAATCCATCTGCGCATTGCTCACTGTGCAGGCAGCGCTCACACGCACCCAGCTGACCTTTCTGGATGCAGCTAAGCATGCAGATGTGATTTATGCAGGGTTCATGGCTTGGGGGGGCTTGGTGTGGCGGAAGTGGCGGTAATGCCGGTGCCACCTGAGCAGGTGGTTGCATCTTCGGACACTGCTTGACCAAAGCTGGTACCTCGGGGTCGCCGGAATTGCCGACTCCATGCTGGCAGCCCCCAGTGTTAGGAGGTCCAACAGTGTTGGGCACGCTGCACCCCGCATCTGAACCCCCCGCAGCAGCTGCATACCGGCAGCTCACGACCCGCAAGTCTCCGCGGAGCCCAACCCAGCAAGCAACGCGACGTGCGTCCTTCCAGATGAGAGCAGTGTAATGGTTCAACTCCGCACCACAGCCCGGCTGGCTCCCTTGCCCCGGGCATGCCAAGACCTCCCGATACCAGTCCCAGACACTCTCCTCCGGTGGATCGTTTATTGAGTTGAACTGGCGGGCATCCAAATTCTCCGCTTGCTGCGGTAGCTCTACACCTGTGTAGAGGTTGGGATCATGGGGCCTGCCCGAGGATGCCTGTGCCCATGCCGCCAGGTCGGCCCCACTCGCACAATGCTGCAGAAGCTTCTCCACCCAGGCTTTGGCGTATTGCACCAGCTCCTCTCCCCATGCCAGCCCAGGAACTCCATGGCAGGCTCTGTAATAATTGTGGGCGTCCACCCACCTCTGCGGATCGTTGCGGCTGGGGTCCGCCCTGATTTCCGCCGGATTGAAGTTCGCCGTGCAGTGGCCTTGGTCGCCCCAAGCCTCATCCTGCAGGCGTCTGGAGAAGGTCCAGGTGGTGTTTGGACTGGCTAAGGTGACCTGGAAGACCTGAAACACCAGGAAGATCTCTACAACTCGAGCATGTGGCGGCATGGCCACTTGCACCTTCACCCTAAGCTAAGCATTCTAAGCCAATGGCTGTGGCAATGGCTTTCAGACTCGGATCTCTTCCCTCAGAAACTTCTCAGAAGTCTTCGCAAAAAAGCCCACCTCGATGCTCCACATGGCATCTGTGGGGTTCGGGACTCTCGGAGTGAGAGCTCTCACCGAGGCCTGGCACTGCCAAGAGGAGCCCCTGAGCTCAGGGCAGAAGCTCCCAGAGCAGAGGCCTCGTAGAGAACTCCTCTGAAGAGCTGCGTCCCGAGGCGAACCACCATCTCGCCGGAAGATGTGCTCGTGACCTCCACCAGGTGCCAAAGACACATCCAATGAAAGATAAAAGTGCAAACGGGAGCAGAGGTACACATCATGCGGCCTCAGAGGTCACGGTCTCAGCCGTTCCGCTCTGAATGATGTTAAAGTCCTGGGCCTGTGCAACCAAGCACTATGAAGGCTCCAGATGGACTGAACACACCCGGCATCTGTGCACCTGTAGGTCGTATGGAGGAGCTCTCAAGCGCATCAAGTTGCCGACCTGCAGCGGGCGGGCGAGTCAGTCGCGCGTGGTGTTCGTGTAGATGTATGCATGCATGCATGCATGCATGCATGGATGGATGTTTGGGTAGCTGGGTAACTAGGAATTCATGCTTGTACTGAGGACTAGGCCGCAGAGTTGATGGTCACAGTGAAGGGCAGCTCCACAACCGCAAACTCACCCATCCGGACCTCTTCGCGTCAGGATGTCAGGCCGCACTCTGCTGACGTCGAGTTTACGGTTCGAGAGGCCTCCCAAAGAGATGGCACGGGATACAGTTCCGGCATGAGCTTGTACCTTGCAGGGGTATAAACCGCACGAGCTTTCGAGCGCAGACAAATGAAGATAAATCACAAGGGCGGCTGTCACAGCAGGTGGCTCACTCGCTGCTGATCTGCTTCCCTGTAACGGCAACCTCGGCTGCAGCGGCATTTGCAGTTGCGCACCGCAAAACGGCAGCATCGAACGAATTCCGAAATCGAGCTACTCACCCACCGACTTGCCAAGCCGCTCTGCCAGGCAGTCGGAAGCCAGAACGAAAGTTGAGCGCCTCGTCCATCTGAGCCTGCAAGGGAAGCAACCACTGCCCACGCCGCATCGTGACATGAGGTGACTGAGCTGGGGCTTGAACCCCGTTGTTGAGTCTCGTGATCAGGTTGAAGAGCGTCGGGCCCCCGTTCAGCCCCAGCCGGAAATTCGCAATGACGATGTCCACATTGACCTGGAAAGAAATCAGCACAAAGGCATCCCTGCGTTGCAGCTTCCCCAAGGTTTTCGGCGGGCTGTGTGCGGCCTCTGCATAAGTAGATGCCCGTATTCGGATCGTCTCAGCGTTTGTTGCAATGACCTTACTGGCATCGTCGACAAAAAACTCGCTGCAGCTTCGGCTGCGGAGTGCAGACCTCGTGGCCCAGCGAGATTGCTGACGCACCGGTGAAGTCAAAGCCGGTTGGCTCCAGTGCCTGCAGGCGATGCCCTTCTAAACGATGTGCGCAAGATGACCAGCGGGTTTTGGAGGGTGCCCGGCGTGGCCTCAAGGCTAAGCTCGTCGGCATCGGAGACAGGTCTGTACGAGACGGCCATGGTGGACACCTGGTGACTCGTGAATTCGAAGAGGCCACACTCTCGCAGGCTCCGACAGAGGCTGGGACCGAATTTTCTGCCTTCTGCTCCCCTACCAGCATGACCCTCACGTTGGCAAGCTGTGGAACCTGACGCTGAAAGCTACTCAGTGCTTTCACAAGGCTCCGACAGCATTGCAACTAACTGTGTTTTTTCCTATTATTTTTCTTGCTATTGTCGTCATGTCGTCGTCGTGGTCGCCGTCGTCGTCGTCGTCGTCGTTGTGGTAGTCGTCGTAGCTGTCGTCGTCAGCATCATCATCATCCCCCTCGTCGTTGTACTTGTACTTGTACTTGTACTTCTACACCTCAAACTCCTTCTACTCCTCCATACTCCTCCTACTCCTCCTCCTCCTCCGCCTCCTCCCCCTACTCCTCCATAATCTGCTGCCACTACTGCTGCTGCTGCTGCTGCTGCTACTACTACTACTACTACCACCACCACTACCACTACCACTACCACAACCACTACCACTAGTGGTAGAAATAGTAGTAGTAGTANNGTAGTAATAGTAGTAGCAGTAGTAGGAGTAGTAGTCGTAGTAATAGTAGTAGCAGTAGTAGGAGTAGTAGTCGTAGTGGTAGAAATAGTAGTAGTAGTAGTAGTAGTAGTACTACTACTACTACTACTACTACTACTACTACGTCTACTTCTACTTCTACTTCTACTTCTACTTCTTCTTCTACTAACTACTACTTCTGCTGCTACTCTACTCTCCTCCGCCTACTCTGCCTCTATTCCTACTGCCGCTGCCACTACTACCACTCCGTCTATTTCTATCTTAGTACTGCTATTTTTAGCGACGATCAAACCATGTTGAAAGTGCGATTGCATTCATAGTGCCAACCTTTGGTGCTACCATCTTCTTTGCTTTTTCCTTGACTTGCTACTGCTACTATTGTCGTTGCTACTGTTTCTAGTGCTACAACTCCGACTCTTCGCTTTGCTCGTACTGTTACTCTGAAGCCTGACATTTACCATTGGGATTCTTCGATAAGACTAGCATCGAAGATGCTTTGCTGCAATTGGCAGTATTGATCTTATCGTTGCTCTTGGTGTCAGTCTCTGAGCGACAGACAACATCCCAGCTCTTGATGGCCTGGCAGCTGCCAGATGCTTTGCTGCAGCATCCAACGGCTCTTGCCGCTTCTGGTGCGACACATGAAGCAGTCTAGTGTTTCGCCCGTTCGCGCCTCCGTGCTCATGATCGCACCATTGGCCGTGTGAGTGATGCTCCAGTGGTTCAGGAATGTCTTGGAAGGCAAGGGGCGTCTCTGTCACACCCGTCTCAGAAAGCTGAGAAGTGCCGAATTTGCCGCTCAACCGATGAAGCTGACGCAAAGCTAAGTCAAGAGCATGCGGAGTCTTCGCGGGGTTTCGCGAGGTCAGCCGGAACATCATCACACGCAGTTCCGGAATATTCTTCGGCTCCTGGACCTGCACAGGTCCAGTGGAATCAAAAGCGCTCTTGCTGAAAACACACGCACGAAGAAGGGGTCCTGAATGGTAATCATGTTGTCGATGCAAGTGATCATGGAGTTCGGCAAGTACAGAAATGCATCCTGCAAAGGTGTCTTGCCGAGCTTACTGACACCTCTTTCAAAGCGCTTTCACTTCTCACGTTGTGGGGACTGCCTCCATCGGCTCCCAGCGGAAGTCGGCACACGAATCTTGCGGACCCTCGGTGCGCTTCTGCATTGCAAGTCGCGTAACTTCGTCGGTCTTACAGCAGGATTGGGACACCGCCGTCAGGAAGTTGAAGCCAGTCGGAGCCTCGATGGCAATGACCTGCAGCGTGCAGACCAGTTGTGAGCGTCCTTTCCTCGCCGCGTCTTGGGCATGAACATCTCCGGGAACCAGCTTTGTTGGCAGCTGGAACTGGACGAAGAGTCCAGGAATCTCAGAGAGCCTCGTGGCGGTACATCGCCCCAGCGCGGCCTGGATCCGGAGCCTTTCAAGCTGAGCTCGAAACCCGTTGCGGTAGGTCGCACCGGTGACAGGGTCCTTTGAGGCCGAGCATGCGAAAGCGAGAAGTGGTGAGAAGTAGCGAGATGAGCATCGCTCCTGATTCCGCACCACCCACTGCCGGGCTTTGTTGTAGACGGGATATCCCGGCCTTGCCGTGAGAAAGCGTTTGCTTCGGAAGAAAGGCCGGGATTTGCGCTGAGTTGTCGGCAAGGTTATGGAGTCGCGGAAGGTGGGCAAGACCTTATAGGTTCGTGGCGAGATGGGTATAAAAAAATCTGGCAAGCATAGCTGGACAGGTGGGTTGAATCGAGCACCCAGCACCAGATGACCCTGGGCTGTCAAAGGTGTCCAGATGCCAAACGTTCCACATTGCTTCCTGCACTTTTCACCGAAGCAGGTAATTTTGCAAGCTCACGAGGCGACAGAATACCCACTAGTAGTATGCACAACTGCTTGGGCCAAAGGGGAGCACTCCGGTGGCCCAAAAGAGTTCGGAGTGATGTCTCAAGGCACCTCATAGGCCGGAATCGTGAGGGTCGGGTTTCTCACCTTGGAAGAGGCATCAACCCACGTCAGCTGTTCGCGACAGCTGCAGGAGCCGGCGCCAACTTGGGGGCCAAGTCACGAAGATCGTCAGCTGGTAGTCACGGTTGGCTTCGATCTCCCTGAGACTTTACCAGCTCAACATGCCGCCAAGTCATAACACGGACTGCCTTCAACACGCTTCGATTCATTCAAAGCTTTGGGAGCTGGCCGCTCGGAGGCAAGAACAGTGGCTGTCAAGATCCGCCCGGTCGCGACATCTACATCCTGACACCGCCGAAATGAGAGCCCTTGAGGCTTCAACAAGGACTGAGTTTACGACACATCGGACATCTGCATCGCCCCAGATCAGAGAAGGCCTTATGCACAGTTGGGAACAGGAAGCACGTGGCATAGGTGCAGTCGGATGAGATCGCAGTAGCCATGAGTAGTGCACGGCCCAATCCAGTTCGGTGCAGGCGCAGTCAGTGGGTCTGCGTTCCCGGTGCCTGACGCATGGCTGCACATGCTTCATTATGAGTAGTCGAGCAAGGCAGGACAAGCCCAGAGTGACAATCGGCTCGCAGCAGTACGCATCTTAGCATTTTAGCATGCTTGCGCCTTCTGACATTTCATTATCTAGTCCAGAGTCTAGACCGGATCCATCGTCTTGCATGCATGGCAGTCTTTCATCTTGAACGGCCGCATGCAGCAGTTGCCACTATTGAGCACTGTAACCAGGAGCATGATGGAAGTCTAAGCAAAGGATTGGCACTGGGCCGGTCGCATCCCAACTGCCCACGGTTCAGAGGCTCAGCGACTTAATCAGACACCGCCAATGCCATTCTCTCAAAGTCCTGCAACACAGTCACATCTATCAGTGTCGCAGGGCTGCTTTCCAGAATAATCCAGCCGGGTTCCCAGCCGGGTGCGAAGCAAGGAAAGCAAAGAGCGCACACCTTTGGACTTTGGCGCTTTAGCTCTGAAAAGATGCTGCCGCTTGAGCTTGCCCTGAGCTGTGGACTCTGGCAGCTCATCCTCCTGAGTTGCCTATCAAGCTGAGCTGCTCAGTAACAGGACAAAAACTGAAACAAACCCCACCTCTATCAGGCAGCACAGGCCACACTCCAAGCTCTTCACGTGGCGCCTTGGTGCACTGCTGGAAGGCTGCTGGGGTCATGCTTGACGTTGTTGCAGCTTGGTCACAAGACCATGCGAGTAACCTCGACCGCAGGAAGAATTTGCCCCGGTGTAGCGGCAGAGCCGCAGGCCACACCCCAAGCTTCAGGCCATTTCTTCGTAGCCTCCACCCCTTCCTCCATTGGTGACCTGGCTTCGCCCGGGCTTGGGCTTTTCTCACGCTCGGAAAGAGGGACCCTATAGGAGCCCCAGAGCCCCGCGGGGCCCCCACGTCCAAGGTGATCTCCAGATAGTCCTCAGGCTGGTAGTGGCTCTCCTCGGCTTCTTCAGATTCCGAGAGATTCACACATGCCACGGCATCTGACTCGTGGCCATGGAAATCTTCATCCCGATGAGGGTGGGCTTCTTGAGGGCGACTTTCTTCACCACCTGCCGGCTTCCCGCCATGTACTAGATGCAGACCATTTTGGATCACGAGCCGCACACCCAAGGGCCCGTCTCCACGGAGAAGATGACCTTCAGCTTCTTTTTCTGCTCCTCGGTGAGGTCCAACTTCGCTAGGCATCTCGCACGTACAGTGGTTCCGGAGTCCTCGTGGCTCGCTGCCAGGAAGCGGTGCCACACGCGCGCCTTCAAAAGGCTGCGAGCACAGCTCTCTGGGTGGGAGAACAAGCTGTTCTGACCCGCATTCTTCCAAAGTCTCAGTTGCCGCAGTTCAAGTTTCCAGACTGTCCAGCAGCGGGGGCAGCGGGGCCTGCGGACTCGCAGGATCCGACAGCCAAGCAGCTGATGGATCCACAGCAGCCGTCATGATGGTCTCAGGTGCAGGTGTTTCAGCACCGGAAGAGTGCAAGCCCAGGAGAGGGCCTGGTAGGAAGGAATAATGATGTTCAGTATGAAGAGGAAACGTCCATCCCCTCGGCGTCGAATGGCCTCCGGAAGCCCAATGCACCCACAGAGCCGAGGCTGCACAACGCCGAGCTTCGAGCTTGGCACGAGAAGTCAGAATGCCGCGCCTTGCATCCCGCACATCTACAGTAAGCATCGGGAGTAGCAGCGCATGAACACGTGAATTCGCGCTCTGGGGTAACGAAGGTGCGGACTGATTCAACAATGGGGCCGCGGGGTCCGATCTGGCTGACGTCAACATCTAAGAGCTGCAGCATCGCAGGACCTGTCAGTGACATGCAGACAGGTTGCAGAATGCGGGAGTGGCCCTCGCAAGCCCGTGCTCTGCCAATTTGGTCTCCGGCGGGAGGGTTCCTTTGACCTCGGCTAGTTCTGTCGGAGATTGTGACAAATCTCGTGAAATTCAGGCACACGACGTTTGTGCAAATTGAGCTGAGTGGCCCATCCAGAAAATATGTCTCTGATCGCAGCTTGTAGGTCGACCTAACTCCAAACAGGCGAGTCGCGAGACTGTCTTCAAGCAGTACAGAGACAGGCATTTCTGTGAGGAAGCTGCGCATCGATGACATTCCAACTGTGCTCCCCATCACCTTCCATCAACGCTGTCGATTCTCAAATGCAAAAGCTTTGCAGCTCGGGGCCTTGTGGAAAGTCGGCCTTCCGGAGATCATATCCGAACCTAACAGCCCGTCGCAATTCCGCGACCACAATCGCGGTACTGATGTCACGACTAGTACATGCGGAATCATGCGGATTGACGCAGGAGGAAGGATCCACGTCAATCTCCGTAACGTCCATCTACCACGAGTATCAAACTCACTGTCACTATTCTCTTCCATGAGCACACACCACAAGGACCACAAGAATGCTGGTTTCATCTGCCAGGTCTGGGAACCCGACCCCTCGAGTTGTGTCTCCTCTTCAAAGTCCGTGATGGAGTGAAACTCAGCAGCCTCCACCTGCCCGCGTGTGTCTTGAAGTCTTGCTGAGTCTTGCTACCTCGCGCAAGCCGTTTCAGGTGCCATGGCCTCCCTGTCACTGTCCTCCCCGTCATCAATAATTGCGTCGCCAGGGAGGACCTAACGAAAGCGAATTGGCGAAGCCACTACCACGCCACAATCCCGCCGATGCTCTCACCATTGGTGGTATGGACGAGAGCGCTTCTCGGATTTCGCCAGGACGCAGAACGCTTCCTTCATGCAACAGTGAAGCACGCTGCAAAGTACTGCCTGGCAAGCAACTGCGCTTCTCTAAGTGACGGGCTGCCGGCGCGCACAATGCGATGTAGCGCCTTCCTTGTGTGCGAGCTCAGGCCTCAGATCTCGTCACGCAAAGGACGGAATTCGAGGCAAAGGCGATCCAAAATCGGGTCGTGACCTTCGGGACTGCTTTGGCCCCAGTGCCTGAAAAAGGTAGACAACCGTCGGTATTGGTATTGCGAGTCCTGATTCGGACGGAGGACAGCCACAAGGAGCGACGCCGTGCCAGCAATACAGCGCTCCTTGGCGAAATCCACGTCAAGTCCCTGTCGCAGCCGCGCGTACGATGCCTGTGCTGTAGGCTGTCAACTGTCCCGTCCACAGATTACGTTGCCGCAGAATCTCTCTCCCACACTGACACAAACACAGGGGCACCGAAGCGCGCCGCTTTTCTGTCGCCTGCACCTCTGGTCTCTCTGACAAGGTCTGTTCCTTGGAAATTCGATTGTCCACTTTTGCTCGCGTCTGACGCTTCTGAATCCTTCTCCTCCGCTCTGTTGGATCAGGATTTCCTCGGACGAGCGAGCGAAGATCTTGATAGTCACCTGAGTTGTGGAACCAGCCATGCAGTACCTGAAAACGAGGCCAACAGTCTTGCTGGCTGCTGAGGTGCGGTGGCACTCGAAGTCCAACAAGCGACTAAGTCCAGGAACATCCTTGATCGCATGCTGACATCGTGCTTACACTGACCATGCCCAAGCCCTCCGAAGTACACTTGCGGTCCTTGGCAGCAATGTGTGGGTTATGCTCCACTACCTCCTCGGGCATCGGCTCGACCGCTTGAAGATACTTTGTCAAGATGGCCGCCTCCGACGCGCAATCAAAGCAGCAGCACCTGGCCCCAGAGTCAAACAAGACTCACAGCTTTCATTAGCCTATAGCAGCATCAGTACGAGAAACAGTGCAATAGAAGCAGTGCTTCTGAGAGCGCGACCGGAAGTAGTCTTCGAATTCGTGCTTGTACTTCGCAATTCGACGGTGCGTGTTGAAGTAGAACATTTGCTGCTCATATTTCCTCACTATCACTATCGGCAACCATCCACCAGCGCTATGAAAGCATAAGGCAACAGAGGCTCCGGTTATCGTAGCTTCGGAAGCATCTCTCCGAGTCAAGACCTGGAGCGGCTCACTGGGATTCGCAAAATTCTTCGGTGTTCCGATGCTGGCCTTGGAACTCCACGAAGAGACGGCTTTCTGTCGTCGTTGCTGGACCCCAGACCTCAGCCAAGGTGCCGCTTTTCGCAGGGTTGCACGTACGACTTACATCTAGTTTTTGTTACAGCCGCGCGGCGGGAAGATGAACAGTGCCATTCAGGTATTTGGTCGTGCCAGCATCTGACAGCCCAAGCCACAGGAAGAGCCTATTGCAGCTTTGTTCACTTCGTTCTCAATGCATGCCAGGCACCCCAAGGAAGCCGAAATTTGAAACACGATGCCACAGGCTTCCTCGCAGCGACCAAAAGCTGGATCCACACCCAGTTAATGTCTTCGTCCAAGTGTCATCAGCAGGTGCCATCTCTCTTGGACACGCATGTCGTCTTCAACTTCCTTCTGGCCTTTGCTGCACCACACGTGCACGGCATGGTGGCGAATCTCCCGGGTGGAGCGTCTGTTCAACTCAATAGACTCCATCCACGAGGCTGGGATAGTCATCTCCCTCATCCTAGGACAGCGGCTCTTGGCAAGAAATACCAGAGCGAGAAGCCTTATAGTCAAGCAGCTGCGTCCTTGCTCGTCCTGACGTCCGAGATAAAAAGGACACCTCATCTTTGGAAAAGCTGGTGACTAGGAAACAATACCGAATGTGTAGTCTAAGTGAGAGTCTAAGTGTACTGCATAAGGAAGTGACCTTCAGAATGCTCGAACTCTTTGGCCGTCTCGTCGGTGAAATACTTCTGCTCGCAGCGAATCCTCACAGGGCAATTCGGGGAGCGTTAACATTCAGTTATAGAATCCGGAAGCGATCTCAAGCTCGAAGGGGCCTGGGCGTCCCATCGATCCAAAGCAGCTCTTTGGCAGCCTGCCACCACGTGATGCATCCACAACACAAGCGGAGGCAATCTCAACAGGTGCACATGATATTTCGATTGCACTGCCTTGTTCAGATGGTCTGAGAAAGGTCTGCAGTCAATCAGCACGAATCGCAACTTGGGGAACATCTTTGCAAGAAGCCTCCGGTTTGAGGCAACCCTTCAAGATTCAAGGGAAGCTGAGCATAAGCAATTCGTTCAAAAAAGAGGTCTATCGAAACGCATCATGCGGCCGTGCTTCCGGATATGAGTTCCAGGGGCTGCACCCGCATACCTTGCGGAGCTGAGGCGGGTTCACTCAGAGCCTCCCGTCTCACTCAGAAGCTACTGTACCTGTAAAGACAAAACCGATGCCTGTCATAATTAAGGACTTTGAGTGGACTGTGAAGTGTTCGCCGTCCTTCCTGGACCTCCATCCTCCTTCAGCTTGAATCTATACAATCTAGAAAGTAATGAGCCCGGGAAAGTTCCGTGCCCTTCCAAATCTGCACAGCCAGGCTGCACTACACAGCTGCCTCTCTCGTAGTACTCGGTGAGAAACCTTGGCTGGCTCAGTTCGGCTGCATATCAGCCGCAGAGCTCACAGCAACAATGCAACAAGAAGCTCAATCTCCGCCAGCATTAGCTTGCGCTGGCCCCAATGGAGCACCGTCTTGCCTCCACTGAAACGTCAGCTCGGCTTACCCAAGAACCCAGCAGCTCATGCTCGGCACACAGGCACTGTGAATTTAAAGACCAACAGCTGAACTGACGACGAGCGTCTCTCGTTGGAGCGACTTTTGTATGGACGCTCTTGTGCTGTGTCATGATCCAGGATTCGGGAGAAGGTCAAATCAGTGCCGATGCTGTAGCCGTCCTGACCCGGGAACTGAAAAAAAATCCGTCCCAGGAGTGATCCTGGAAAGGAGGCCTCTGAGACTCTAAGCTTCTCTGAGGTCCTGATTGCCCTGCAGGCAATGCCGGTCGGCAGGAAGCGCTGCCTTCAGGCGCAGCTCCTCTTCTTGGATGTCTTGGAAGCTTCGCTTCATGGCTCCATGGCATGGTCGGGAAAATGGGTATCAGGGTGTCGGGACAAAAGACGTGCTGCAACCTTTCACCCACTGTCCGAGGCCCTTTTTTGGGCTTACGTTGAGGGCCTGAAGCCTGCTTCCACCACGTGGGCTTGATCCGAAAAGCTGCATGCACCATGACGTCGAGATGCACTATGCACCGTACAAGTTGCATGGGTAGAAGAGTCCTACAAAACCAAACGCACCAACCTCTGAAGTGCCTACCGAAGTGGCCTTGCTGAGAGACTCCATCGCGGCGACAGTCGCCAAGACCTGGCTGCACCAGGAGCATGTCCTTATTGTCCTTGTTGTCCTTATTGTCCATTGAATACGGTAAGAAGCCGCTTCTCAAAAAACGTCCAAGATACCATGTCGAGCGTGGGAACTCCGCTACTGTGGCATGCTGATCATGTACAGTCAACCCTGGCTCAGCAATGAGCGGAACCTGCACTTAGTACCTCGTTCCGGCTGCAGTAAAACTCCGATGGCGCTAATGCCTTCGCAACCCCGTTCACTTTTCCAGACAAGGACGGAAACCTTGACGACGAAGTCGATCATCATGAGAGCAACCAAACAAGAATCATCACGGCCCTGCCGATAGTTCTCAAACCACGAGGCCCGAGCCGTTGCCAAAGCTACGATGCGTCGATCTGTGAAGGGCACCATGCCTCACAAGTGAAACCCCATTGGTATTGAAACGGACTGCTAACGCCATCATAACCCTTACTTGCTCCTGTTGCTGATGTTGCTGCGATGCGGTGCGGAACGCAAGAAGATGACTACTGTTCGTTCAAGTCCAAGCATAGCAGGGGGAAATCCAAGCCTTCTCCCGGCAGATCTGCATCGCGAGATTGCGACATCTCCTGCGCAAATGCCAGACACAACAACACGAGAAGGAGACCGAAGTAAGATTAGTCACAAGCCAATATCTGAAGGGTCATTTCCTACCCCCGTTTTGGGGCACCCTACTTTTCTGTTTTGCAGAAGCTAACCATGAAACTAGGCACCCCAAACCCTCTAGGTAGAACTACTGTTTTGCAGAAGCTAACCATAAAACTAGGCACCCCAAACCCTCTAGGTAGAACATGTGCGACTGCGCCGACGCACTCCTCGGGGAGATTTCTCGTGGACCTGGACTCCGGGTCATCAGACGTAGAAACTGTGGAAATTGATTTCGGGGTGCTTTCTGCAGCGAAACACCGGTCTGGCACCCATCCCATTAAGAACCCAAGTACCTGCGAGCAGCGCAGCGTTGCTTTCTGGGACCACGGCATCCCACGTGCTGCTGCCAGGGTCGAGCACAACTCAAGCACGACCTGCAGAAGTGAGTTTTCCATGCAGTCACGAAGCAGGGCATTCTCTTTTTGATCAAGCCTCAAGCAGCGTGTTGCAACCACTTCGTCGCTGGTCGCTGTCTTGCATGCACATCATTCGTGCTGTGTTTCCACCGTAGTGGAAAGAAAGAAGTTGTTCTAGCAAACCTCACCTTCGCATCTACATCTGGCGAAACGTCACGCTTGATATCTTCATCGGCGAGTCGTCTGCAGTTGGTCTTACATCATAAACATCTCGAGTCGATTCAGCAGGGTCAGTCAGTGACATCAAGCCATCTTCCGTGCACTCCCAAACGGTGAATGCACCGTGCGTATACGTGTTGGCCACACGTCGTTGTCCGGCTCAGCAACAGCAGAGCAGAATCCGAAACCCTGGCTTCAACACGCAGTGCCTGTACAGAATGTAATTACGTTCTTAGAGTGGGCAAGGCACGTTCTGCACACCTGCCTCCAGAAACGAAGTAACATGCAATTGCTCTCGCAATTGGAGCATTTAAGAGAAGCCCTGCAAGCATGTGCTGCGGATTGCCTTGTCTTGACTGCATTTCACAGAACAAAACGAACTCGCACCGGCGGCGCAGGGCTTCGAACTCAATGCCATCAGACCTTGATGCAGCATGCCACGGCCCCAGCTGACACTGAGGGTGCTGAACCCTTCCCCGAAAGTTTAGCAAGGTCACTGCCCCGTGTCTGGCCGCCCACAGAGTCCCATCTACAAGAAGCCAAACAGATGTCCTGCAATCAAGAATCTTGGGAGGAAGGCCAGGCTACTTGCGTGAGGATAAGCCGGCCTGCCTTCACAGCAGCGCCAGCTTCACTGCACCACGTACAAATCCGTGAATTGCAGCTTGTTCTTGCCTCTAGATGGCAGGAAAAAAGCACTTGCACAGCATGTTTCCATGCAGCTCAAGTCCGCAAAAAACAGCAAAGCAAAGCTGAGCCCAAGTAGCGGCAGAAGCGGCGGAAGTGCTGCGAGATCTCCTTCACCAGGCCCAGGGTCTCTTTCAAGGCCGCCTCCTTGATCTCCTTCCTAGGCAGAAGCTGAAAGGAGAGAACAGAGAACACAGAAGATTCAAAAGCAGAGAAGCTGACGAAAAAAACATGTTTCAAAACTACAATAAAGTGTTGCAATTTTGTACCCAAGGCTCGAGCGGCACGAGACAGCCAGCTGTAGCGTTTCGTCCCTCTCGTAGTCGCCGTGAGGCGTCCTGACCTCCTTGTAGCCACTCCCCCGACCACGAACACGTGCGCCAGCCCCGGTGTTGTAGATCGGGGCCATGTTGCAACCACGCCGCCCGATTAAGCGAGGCACCAGCTCGAAGTCTGCATGCTTTGTCAAATCGTAGCCTTGGAAGACAACGGCGAAATTGAAGCTTTTCAACTTCGGCATCGGCTTCGGCTTCGGCTGGACCGGAAGCTGGCACCGCGGCTCCGACTCGGTGTAAGGCGACATGGTCAGGCCGGGAGGGGGGGGTAGAGGCGACCGCAGGAGCTCCTGGGGCGAAGGGCCCCGGAGCAGCGAGGCGAAGTTCGGAGAGGCGGAGGAGTCGCTGCAGCTCTCGCTGTCCTCGGACTCCGCGGACGTCGATGCCAGGCTAGAGAGCCGATTGAGATAGAGATGGTTGAGGCTCGGAAGCAGGGAGCGGCTGGGTGTTACCCAGCAGGGCTCCAAACCCGGTGGCTTCAGCTCCAAATTTGATGGAAAAAATAGGGAGTGTGTGTCCATTGGTCCTGAGCACCAGAGCAATCTCATGACCTGCCTCAGTATCTCCAACACTCTTCACTCTTGCAAACAAGAAGCCCGCACCAATGACAAACTCATCCTGAAACGCCATCTTCAGCGAGAGACGAATAAACAGAGAGAGGGCAAGCTTGAGAGGAAGAGCTGCTCAGCATGAGTCGCAAGCAAAAACTCCCGCAAGGCTTTGCAAAGCAGCTAGTAGCACCCGGCACCTCCACAACTGCACCTGCATGTACTTGAAGCAGAATAAAGCTGGACGTGCAGACTAGGTTTTCTCAGTCCGGTCTGAATTCACCTCATTTAGCTTGTGCTGGGGGGCCCGGCTTCTTTGTAGAAAGCGATAGAGCGGCAGCAGGTGGCGGAGGGACTGGCCAGGGCCCTCGCCCAGCCGGGCCCTGCGATTCAAAGCAAAGCACCATGCCATCGCGCGGGCCACGCGCCTCGCCTCGCCTCAACCCTCCGCCTCGCATGGCATGCAGGAAGTAGGCGCGCTGCGCCCAAGGCCTCAGACGGAAGGTTCGGACTCCCGCGGACATAGGAAGCAGAGGAGAAGCCTCATATGCAAGTCTCGGACGCAAAGGCACATGCAACCTGCCAAATGCAGTACGCCCGGTGCGCTCCTTCTGTTCCTAGCAGAGGTGCCTCTACAAGAACAGCATATCTCCAGTTGCCCGCAAGCGCTCCAGGCCTGCCGTCAAAACGGCAGACAATGCAGTAAGACACCCTGCCTTCCCACCCAACGGCCGCACCTTGTCAAAAGCCTTGGAAACATCAGTAAGTCAAGCATCTCTTCGATGTGTGCACGTGAAGGTGCCTGTGTGCCCACTTCACGAGGTGCTTCAAACGCCGTGTTGTGGGGATGGGTGGAAAACTCCCAGCCTCAATACTGCAGTTGCCTATCCAGCTGACATCGCCGAACGGCGCTCCTGGAGACACAGCACCAGGGCTCTGGCGATAGCAGCCTCAGTGGTTGAGCGTAAGCCACTGCGAACTGCGAACCGTTTTGCTGCTTGCTGCAGCCAAAAGTCTAAAGCTGTGGCACCCAAATCATCGGGCCTCGCGATACCCTGTCGACGACTTTCCCGCTCACCTTACAAGTGCAGCTGGCACTAGTGCACAAACACATTGTAACAAGCAAGAAGGAGAGTCCAGAAAGCGCTTGTAACAGCGAGACAACACCGAACATCTTCGCCTCCGTCCGTCCGTCTGTCCATCCATCGATCGCAACATGTATCCATCTCTTCATGTATTTCATCCATCCATCCATCCATCCATCCATCCATCCATCCACCCATCATTCACCCATCCACACAACGCCTCGACTATGAACCGTTCTATCCTGCTAGAATCCATTCTACGAACCCTCCTGTAAACGTGTCGAAATGCTTCGATAAACCTTCGACACACCCTGCAATAAACCTTTTCTACAACCCTCTGCAAATGCTCTTCTAAGCTTGCCTGTAAACTTCTCTGAGAAACCTTCTGCAAGCCCCCCAGCCCTTCTAGCAAACCTGCCATACTATGGGTTATAAACTATAAATGAAAGCCCTTCTATCGAACAATTCTATAACCTCCCGTAAACCCTTCAAAGAACAAACGCGCCTACAAACTTCTCTCACGTGGGGCACCTGATGCCTGGTTGAATTTACAGTGAACTACTTTTACGACCACACCGTTGCACCAAGAAGGTTGTTTTTGCCGCGAATGCAAGACGTCTTCGGTAAGCACAGTTGGCATAGACGCTTTACATGCAAGTGCACTAGTGGTCCTATACAAGGCGTTGCAAATAAAGGTTCCTAGACTGTGACAAGGGCATTTCGCACCCGACTTATTTCCGTGTGACCGAACGTGAAACAAAACTCATGTCAGCTGCGCTTGGCCAGCGTGACGGTGCGATTGCGCAGCGATTTCCGTGCATAAACCGAATTTGGGCCTTTGCCTCATTGGATGCTGCGCGTTCCTCCGAGCTATGTCGGAGTTCAGCAAATTCTGTAGCCGATGCAGACTGTTCAGAGGCTGATGCCTCCTCCGCCCGCTCCATTACGGTGACTATGCTTGTTCGAATGGCCTCGTGCAAAAGGTGCAGCTGCATTGACTTTGCAGTCAACCAGCTGCGATTGCGTAGCTATCCACCTGAGAACATCGCCGCAAGGCGCGAATGCCTCATAGCCGGGGATATCGTCCTCCCAAAGCGTTTGGCGTAGTCCGGCGAGTTCTATGCTCAGCCGTTTATCCTCGACCTGTTTCGGCCCCCGTTTGAGAAGGAGAGCCGAAACATGCCACGGTCAGCAGCGACACGTGGTCTCGGCCGAAGTTGACCCAATACCTTAGCAAATTCCTCAGGAGTCGATGTGTTGCTGCGGGTTACCAAAATCCCCGATGGACGAGCATTCACGAATCAAGGGGCTGGTCCCAACAAGGATACGTCCAACAAGCCGGGCACGTACAACTACACGCTATAAGCGTAGGAGATTTCGAGCAAGGCGGCCTGTGGATCCAGTACCACCAAGCACTATGACCAGGTTCAAGGAGTGCAAATGTTAGGAACAGTGTTACACTAAGAATCTGGTGCATAGATTCAACGCAAAGGAATTACATCTTGTGATGCCCTTTACATGCGAAAGGTTCAGTATTTCGGGCTTCACGACATGGATAAGTTGAGTGCGCGGGACATAGCCCTCCTGTCGGAGCTTGGTTTTCTTTCTTACTCAACGAGTAATGTTGCTGAGATCCAGGAGCGGAATAGCGGACTGTATGCCATAGGTCATTCGTGTATGACAGCGGGAACTCTTCATTCAGAGATTGCTTGATCACCGAATCAAGGAAGTAGTTGACGTCCGCAGTAGCCCAGTGAGCATACGATATCCCCATTTCTGCAGAGACAACATCTCTCAGCTATGCTCCGCTAGCGGCATTTCATATGTGCATTGCCCTGAGTTAGGGAACCGCACTGAAGGGGGCATCAAAGCATCGCATGAGACTGCAAATACTCAGTCCACTGTGGGGATTGATCTTCAAGGCTGATGACGAGTCTCATCGTACAGCAATGCTGTGTGCCGAATCCAATTGGGAGAGGCTACATAGTAGGGAAGCATGGCCGAGGGGTGAAGCATATCAGGATGGATTCGACCTCGGAGAATCACCGGGGTGTGGTATGTCAAAACATGCTTTTCGTGCTGCGAATCGATGGATTCAGTGAATCTAAGCAAGAGTCCCAGCATGTCCCAGCCATGTCCCAGAGTCGAAGATTTGGGAAACGAGCCCTGAAGATAGCTTTCGGGGGGATGGTACTTCTTTCTTGGCAAGTCTGATAGCTACCATAAAGCCTCAGTTTCTGTTCAGCTTGGGCTTGACAAGGCCATGGAAACGGAGTGGCAGAAGTATGTAGAGTTCAATGCGGCCAAGGAGATGAATGCCCTCACGCGTGAAGAACACGTCTGTATACCCACGAAGTGGGTCCTTACGGACAAAAACCAACATTCAGTTGGCACGCCGGGGGCTATACGCATAAGTGGAAGACTCGATTGTTGGCGCGCGGGAACTTGGAGCAGATGAACGGCAAGGATATACGTACCGATTCCCCTACAGCAGAACAGCTTCAACCTACTCGTCTTCCTACTGGACCCCGTTCGCTCGGTGGCGGTATGCAGACATGTGGCAGGGTCAACTACCTGTTTATCGTACTTAGTCTTGGTAACCGTACCACACTTCTTGCATGTCCGCATATCGATGCACGCGTTGCTACCAGTTTTGCTGAATTCCTTGCACCCTCCTCTGCACGGGGCCTGGAATCTCGCCCCATGCCCCAGACAATGCTGCTGGCTGCTCCGGCTCAAGCGGTGGCATACTGCTCAAGGGGTGTTCCCGTCTGATCTCAACCGGATCCGAATCAACAACGATAAAGTACTCATGCACCCAGTTGACGAAATCACCAAGCAACCTAGAATGGAACTTCTGGGCACGTATGCAACACCCGTTCATAAGTCAGTCCTTTGTGCTGGCCGAAGCGGAAGATGGTGTCGCTTCCACATAGCGGATGCTGCGGATCTGCGAAGCTGGAAGGACATACATAACCCCTCCACCCTGACCACTGCCAGAGGTACTCTTAACCGCCGACGATTTAGGGCCATGAAACCTCGCGAGTCCGAACAGGAATTCCGAAGGTAAACGACCTCTTCATCTGAGCCATCGAGGGCCACACACCCCTGAGGCTTAGGGTTCTGGGGCTTTGCCGTCCCTCCGGTCAGTGCCGGGGTCACTATGGGCTTCGGGGTAGGCGCGGAACCCTTGGGAGCATTACCTCTGAAACGGCATTCTGTGCCACCCGCCCAGCGACCTAACACTCCGCATCGTAGGCAGCGACTCTCAGCCTTTGGCTCGGTGAGCTTAGCTTTCCTACCTGCGATCATCAAGTTAGATCTGATAACCTTGACCCCTGGCTTTCCCTTGTCCTTTCCTTCACCCTTGCCTTTGCCCTAGGCTTGGCTGAAGGTATTCGTAGCTGCATATGCCAGCTGCACGGCCTCAGCATAGTTACCCCTCGAAGAAAGTGCCCAACTCGAGCTCCGAGGCGACCGCCGCATAGGCGCTGAGTTGCATCTTGACGTCCTCGTCGTCAAGCCATGTCTCTCCGTCGTCGGCCGAACCTGACGGCATTACAGCCGCATACGCGTCATGATCATCCCCAGGTTGTATACCCTGGTCTGCTTCTTCGATGTCGTCTTCACCGTAGCCATAGCCAATGTAACTGCACTTTGAGGCTGTGTTCTGCTGTCGTGCGACCCAAAGCTTATATTCTCGGAGTGATGCTGGACAGGCACCCTGGCGGGCACATTCCTCTACCGTGTGTGTGTGTGTGTGTGTG